TGCTTTGCTCTTTCCGGGACGGCTTCGTCTGTGGCGAGAGCGGGGCCACCATCCCCTGCCGGGAGACGGGCTGCGACCGCAGCTTCCATCTCCCCTGTGCCGTGGAGGGCGGATGCGTCACCCAGTTCTTTGGGCTCTACAGGTAAGGGCAGCCGGCCCTCGTGGCGGAGGCTCCTCGCCTTCAGTCCCCTTCCTGTCAGCATCAGCCAGACAAGAAGGGAACCCACAGTGACCCTTCCCAGCGGCCGGTCACAGGCAGAGCCAGAGCCGGGCAAGCTCTGGGGCTCCTTCACACCTCCTCTCCCCTCCTCGCCACCACCGGGGAAGGACCCAGCACTTGTCACCTCGCCCATCCCTTTCCTCTTCCCCCCAGGTCCTTCTGCTGGGAGCACCGCCCAGAGCAGGCAGTGGAGGCGACTCCGCAGGAGAACACCACCACCTGCCTCATCTGCCTCCACCCTGTGGGGGACAGAAAGTCCTACGGCACCATGGTGTGCCCAGCGTGCAAACACGCCTGGTTCCACAGGGGCTGCATGCAGAATCAGGCTATCCATGCTGGCTTCTCCTCCTTCCGCTGCCCGCATTGTCAAATATCGTATCGATTTCTGATGGAAATGCTCACCATGGGGATCCGAATCCCCAGGAGGTTGGTTTTTTTTTTCTTCTCACAAGACAGGACAGGAGGGTGCAAGCGCTGTGCCGTGCCAGGGCCTGCCCCACCAGTCCTGGCCCTCCGCTGTCCCGAGAGTCTGGGCTTCAGCTTCACGCAGGAGCTGGAAACAGGGCAGAGGGGGAAGAGCAGGGACGCCCTGCGTCTGCCTTATGCCGGGGCAGCAGGGGCTCATCAATTTTCCCTTCCTTCGCCAAAAGCGGACCGTCATGGGAGGACGATGGTGCCTATGAACAATTATATGAGAGGCACAGCCGCTGTGATGCCAGGGAGTGCCTTTGTCCGGGAGGCAGGGAGCAGGCAGAGGAAGAGGGGTAAGTTGCCAAAGCTGCACCCTGGGGCTCTGCACGGGATCGCTGTCTCGCCAAGGGCTCCAAGCGGAAGGGCGAAGAACAATCCTGTGCTGCGGTCACTTTGTCCTCACAGCCATGAACCCGTTTGCTTCCCCAGGCCCTGGCAACTGCTCCTGTGCTGCTCCTGTGCTGCCGAAGGCACCCACAAACGCTGCTCCTTCGTGAAGCACAGCACAACTAGCTGGGAGTGCGTCAGCTGTGCTGGCCTGGGCAGCGGTAAGAGGCAAAGCACCCGCGTGCCCCTCGGCTGGGGCCAGGGGGGCCAGGGGCCAGGCAAGGCCGGGCAGCGGGTGCCCGGGGTCAGCTTGGCAGAGCCTCTCTGCTCCAGAAGGGCTGGGGGCACCGCTCTGGCCTATCCCGCCCCGGGCCTGAGGGGACGGGCCCTTGACCTTCCTGCTTCCCCTTACAGCCTCCAGCGCCAGCTTGGAGCTCGCCCGCCCCAGCGCTGCCAGACAGTCAGGATCGGGGCCTTCCCACGGCTCCCCGGCCCCCGAGACCAGCAGCCCCAGCACCAGCGGCCAGGCGGCATCGGGGCCATCCCGCGGCTCCCCAAGGCTTCAGGGCAGCCGCCCCCCCCACCCCCCCGGGCCCGCCCCGCC